AGAAGAGAACTAGATTACTCATCAAATCATTTACCAGGTTAGTAGTGCTGCACGCAAGACAAGAGAGGACATCTATGCAAGTCATACATTGTTTCCCCCCATTAACCCCATAGTGACCCAGAGATCACTTCTTACCTCCTCCACAGTGAGGGGCATGCAGATCCTGTACTCCTTTAGCAGCATGGTATTGGGGTGTCAGAGAGACCAGTGAGGGGAACAGGGTGGATGAGAAGTTTCGGGGGGGGGGCGGCTGAGCAGCCCTAGATGAAGAAGAATAAGATCCTGCTGTAGACTCCTCTTGAGAGCATGAGTGGAGCCAGCCCTTATGTCAGACCTCTGCCAGCATCATAAGAGGTACTGAAGGTACAACTGAACCGATCCACGGATCACAGCACTGCAGCCATACAGGGGCACAAAGCGAAAGCAGCACGAAGGCAGTTCCTGTGCTTCCCGTGTTCCCAGTCCCGTGCTTCACCCCAACTGCAGACCTGAACCAGTCTAGTCCAGTCCTTTACCCCAGCTGCAGAGCAATGCCCATCCAGTCCAGTCCTTCGCCCCACCAGACTCTGCTGCAGAGTACAGTCAGAACCAGTCCAGTCCTGGACAGCAGCAGACCCAGTTGCAGAGCAGTTCTTGTGGCAGAGCCCAGCTGCAGAGCAGTCCTTCAGAAGCCAGAGCAATCTTTGTCTAGATCCAGCTGCAGAGCAATCCCTATGGCTGAGCTCAGAATAGAGAAGAGCCTGCACTCTGCAGCAGAGCGATCTTTGTGTCAGCCCCCAGCGCTGGCTGCAGGAAGCCCCCTCCCCAGTGATGCAGCCTCCTCAGTTCCCCAATGTGCGTGACATCAGCAGGAGGAAGGATGTGCTCTGCTTGGCCAATGGGAGATACTCACACACTATTTAAACACCAGCAGCATCAGATGGTGAGGGGTCCCCGGCTGGGGAGGGCACACTCTACACACAGCCACATGTTACTACAGGTCAGGCTGCTGTACACTCGGCTTAAACCGACTGCATTCCCTCCGCACATTAACTGCGTTCAAGTGACGCACAGCACATTCACATTGCTTTTTCGATGCTTGCAGCATAATGCAATCCTATTGTATGTAGGCTGCATTACTAATGCACAATGTATATCACTGAATTCCTACTATGCACTGCACTCCTGCTGAAAGGTGACTCCAATGCTCCCTGCCCTGATAGTGTATGTAGTCAGGGCAGCCGTCAGAAATTTTGGGGCCCCTTACACGGCTTTAGGACACCGCCCCCCCCACCCCCGGGCTTAGTGACGCGCTGGACGCAGGACTCACCTGAGAGTGACCCTGCAGAGCCCACCATAACGTGACGTCAGTTCCTGCCAGTACGACATCAGACGAGCAGCATCGCTGATGGGGCTCCAGCTTGTCTCGAAGCCGCTGGAGCGGCAATGCTGGGGCCCTGCGCTGCTAGGGCCTGTCCTCCGCCTCCTCGCCCTTCATAGTCGGCCAATAGTCATGTAAGGGGCCCGGGCGGGCCCCCCAGGCCCCTTACATGAGTATCAGCCGTACCCCCCTGATGGCTTCCCTGTATGTAGTACCTCTCACTATCCTGCTTCTATATAAAATGTGTTTATTTACCTTGGACATACACTAATGTTACACTTAATATTACACTGGGGACTCTCTGCTCTGATTGTTTTGGACGGCTAGGAGAAAATTCTGATTCCACAAATTCTTCCAGGATACTATCAATGCAACGTAGCAGAGGAAGAGCGCAGTACCACCCAGCCACCAACCAGATTTCATTTGATGGAAGTAAGGTCTAGTCATGCGCAATTACAGCAATTTCTCACAAGTGCTCAGTGCTGAGAGAGAGGGCAGAGCTGGAACCTGGGAATACAATGGTTGGGCAGAAGCAGGAGCTGGAACCTGGGAATACAATGGTTGGGCAGAAGCAGGAGCTGGAACCTGGGAACACAATGGCTGGACAGAGGGTGGAGCTGGAACCTGGGAACACAATGGCTGGACAGAGGGTGGAGCTGGAACCTGGGAACACAATGGCTGGACTGAGGGTGCAGCGAGAAACAGGGAACACAATGGCTGAACAGGGAGCAGAGCTAGAACCACGGAACACAATAGCTGGACAAAGGGTTGAGCTGGAATCTGGGAACACAATGGATGGGCCAAGGGTGGATCTGGAAACAGGGAACACAATGGCTGAACAGGGAGCAGAGCTAGAACCACGGAACACAATGGCTAGACGGACAGTGGGGCTGGAATCTGGGAACACAATGGCTGGACAGAGAGTTTATGGTTGGCACGTATCCCGCTATTACATGGTCACCTATCTGGTTTGACCCCAGACATTCCATGGAGCTATTTTTATGGGCAAAGCATGGTAACCGGATGAGAATGAAGCCGCAGGCCACATAAAAACTAGGACAAAGATTTATAGTTTGGGAAACATACACACCGTGCAATTCTAAGATCAGTATGAACATGCAGAGTCTGAAGATTCACTCATTACCTTGTTCATCAGCACACGGTTGAATAAATAAAATGATTATGCAGACAATTTATCATGAAATCTTTTAGTATATCACAGTGACCTTACTAGAGTGAAAGGAACTGACAAGACGGCATTCCCGGGAGTGTCGGGGCTTGTAGCAGGATGAGATTATTCTAACCAAGTCTAAAACAAACCAAGTTTATCTTCAGTCTGAGGGGCCCCTTTGTAAGAGTCACCAAAATGTCCCGAACGGCACCCAGTTACCAGCATTCTTCTCCTATTTATAACACTTTGAAATGCAAAGTCGTGATGTCAAAGTGACAACAAAAAAAAGGAAGACGAAAAGTAAAAAACAAAATACATGTCTTGTGGAGGAAAGTTCCCTCTACATCCCAAAAGTGTTACACAATAAAATGTTTCTCCTCAGCAGAAAGACTTTGCTTTGACCACTGATGACGGATTAAGATCTCATTTACTGTTATACTTCCTTCCCTGAATGATAACCAGACATTCTGTAATTAAAGTGACACAAAACTCTTATTTGTCTCTTATTTATCTTATTTGTGTATCACTCAGCTGGAGATCCTCCAATCACCTCTGACACTGTCCTTCCTTCTGGAGGGGGGCTACGTCTGTTCCCCATGGTTCCTGTGTGTGTTGTAAAGTAGTCACCACTCCAAGCTCCGCCCCCGGGATGGACTACAATCTCATGTTTAGTTTACTCATTTGTACTGAGATTGTAGTTCCTAGGTCTGTACACCGGCTGTGCCCATTATGAGGGGCCCCCACCATCCCTGTGCTGAGTTCCCGGGTCTGTACACCGGCTGTGCCCATTATGAGGGGCCCCCACCATCCCTGTGCTGAGTTCTCGGGTCTGTACACCCGCTGTGCCCATTATGAGGGGCTCCCACCATCCCTGTGCTGAGTTCCCGGGTCTGTACACCCGCTGTGCCCATTATGAGGAGCTCCCACCATCCCTGTGCTGAGTTCCCGGGTCTGTACACCCGCTGTGCCCATTATGAGGAGCTCCCACCATCCCTGTGCTGAGTTCCCGGGTCTGTACACCAGCTGTGCCCATTATGAGGGGCTCCCACCATTCCTGTGCTGAGTTCCCGGGTCTGTACACCCGCTGTGCCCATTATGAGGGGCTCCCCCCATCCCTGTGCTGAGATCCCGGGTTTGTCCGCCTGCTGTACCCATTATGAGGGGTTTCCACTCTTCCTGATTTTTTCTTTTACTTCCTGCTAGGGAGGATGCAAAAAGAGAAGTAAAACACTCCAAGATGGTCACAAACATGCTGGAATCTGAAGATATTAGGCAAAGTAAAGGTTCATTTTACAGGAGGGACGTTAGCAATGTGCATTTATTCTCCTTTTGCTGACCTGCTGCCAGACTGATTAAGATTAAAGCACACCATGAGGCTTACACAAGGCTACTCACGCTCCTCCTGCACCCAAGCGGCAGCACTCAGACCTGCCAAACGCATGTTCATACAATTAGCACTATTCTGTTGGCAGCGGGATTTTCATGGTTCTCCTCATACCTGGAATCACTGAGTATTTCATGGATGCTATGGGAACGGCCCAGGGATGGGGGGGGGCTGAGGAGACTATGTAAGGAGGTAATGGATCTTAATGCTCCATTCTGTAAAGTAAACCAATCTAAGATTGCGGTTCTGTGGATTTTACTGGTTTTAGATGCACTTTGTACACTTTGTAGAGAAGAGGATTGGAAGGTGTTGTAAAGAGGAATATATATCAGCTTGCATGATTAATTCATTATGTGAAGTCTACGTGGCTGTTTTTTTCCTATAAAAATCAAAAAGCAGTAAACTCTTCAGGGGAAACCTGATTATAGAAGACCCCTGGAGACAGACAATAACGAGGAACTCCGCTGAATGGCAGAGAGCACCGGATTGTTATCAGTCCAAAAAACCCCAATATTTCCTCCCCCCCCCATTATCCCTTCATTCTTCAGTCCTATGTATGTGTATTGCAGTACAACTCTGCTCAGCCTGAATGAAATCTACAGACTCTCCCTGTGCTAATTATAACAAACCGAAATGTCAACTTTCATTGGCGTTCACTGGTTTTTGCCAACTCTCTCACATGATGTCCAATTATTTTGTGTAAGATTGCCTGGTCCTGTGACCCCCGGTATGGGCTTTCCTGGATGTGAAAGGTTACATTTAAGTGGACAGTGTCAGACGTCATCCCGTTCACATTACATGTGTAAATATAGCGTTTAGCTGTGTGTAATCTACACACATGTAGGTCTTCCCAACCCATCTCCACCATGCTGAATAGGTGATTTATGACACGGGAGACCGTCAGCCTGACAAAACTAAATCCGTTACAGAGGTGCTGACACCCGCGTCTCTGGAACCCCGGCTATAGGATTTACATCCTCTCTCCTAGACGAGACCTGAGTGAATATACCTCCATTTCCATAGTGACCAGTCACACAACAACAGCTATATATACATCATGTATAGAGAAAGAAAAATGGAGGTGGGGAAAAGACAGAGCAAGGGGGATGGGGAGAGACAGAAAGTGAAAGGGGGACAGAAAGAGAGAGAGAGAGAGAGAGAGAGAGAGAAAAAAATGACAGGGAGAGAGATGGAAATAGAGAGGAGAAAGAGAGGAAGAGATAGAGATAAGAAGAGTGGAGAAGAGAGATGAGAGGAGAGGAGGAAAGAGAGATGAGAGGAGAGGAGGAAAGAGAGGGATAAGAAGAGAGGAGAAAGGAGAGATAAGTAGAGAGGAGAAGAGATAAGAGGAGCAGAAATAAGAGAAAGATAAGAAAAGAAAGAGGTAACAGAGGAGAGAGAAGAAGAGAGGAGAGAGATAACATGAGAAGAGAGAACGAGATAGAAAGAGAAGGTAGAGATAAGAAGAGAGGAGAGAGAGAAGATGAGCAGAAAGGA